TTTTTTTTCCTTTCATGCAATTGTTTCTAACATATTTATAAGATTATTTCTTTGTTGCTTTGTATGTCCCTCCTCCACAGTATAACCATGCTTTCACTGTATTTGAAGTTGGTATAATTTGTGGAGGGGAAGGGAAAAAACAAATCATTTAACTAGGGATACAGGTGGACCCATTGCAACAATGACATGTACAAGTCTTACGTCGAAAAACGAACTTTACAGCTTTGGTGGGGGTGGGGGGAGGATCAGATGGGGGGAGGAGGGGAGTATGGGAAGGGATAGGAAGGGGAAACAAAGAGGAGGCAACAATGCTTGATAAGAAATGTACTCGTTATCTTGCCCATGTAATTGTAACTCCTCTGTATGGTATTCTTGCAATAATAAAAAAAAAGATGATGCTAAATGAAATGAACCCCAAGATATAGACACATCTTCACATTTTGATCTGTTATTGCAGGATTCATGCTTGAACCAGATCCAGAGCATAGACCTGATATATTTCAGGTGTCTTATTTTGCATTTAAGTTTGCCAAAAAGGATTGTCCAGTCTCCAATATCAATGTAAGTATTTTTGAAAGTACTATATGAATGTAAAACCCATTTTACAACATGCAGTTAGAGTAATCTCATATTGTTTTTGTGACTGTATTTTTGGTGTAAAGACACATTTTCCAAACTGTTCCTCAAGGTGCTCTGGAGAGCTACAACACACTTAGGGCTCCCGCTGGAAATTTTGACAGAAATATAGTGACATGTATCTGTTAAGGCATATGATATTTTTATTAAGTGTTTAGTCCTAACCATTTAATAAGCAAGATAATTAATTTGGGGATTTTTTTTAAAACTATGGTGAAAAATTCCTGATACAGACAAAAGGCATTAAGTTCAATGAGAAAATTGGGGTTTTTTGGTGTAACTAGTGTAATGATGTAAATGGAGATACCTGAGTTCAATTTCCACCTTTACTGGTAACTGATTTTCTATCTTTTAGAAGGTTAATGTCCATTTTCCTAGGAAAATAAGGATAATAATAATTATAAAAATTGCAAGTAATGTAATCTTCTATGGACCAGAAAGATGTTCATTCAAAGACTTTGATTCACTTTCTACAGTGTACATGAACTACTTCATATAAACTGTGTATGGCGAATATTTGCTAATTCTAATAAAGATGGCTAGAATCATCATTGGTTTCAAGCTATTTTCCACTTTGTAAGACTTATTCTAGCCTCACTTGTTCTTACATGTTTTCTTTATATCTTAATATGCATACTTAGAAAAGGAAGGAAGCCGGGCACTGGTGGCTCACGCCTGTAATCCTAGCTACTTAGGAGGCTGAGATCTGAGGATCACGGTTCAAAGCCAGCCCCGGCAGGAAAGTCCATGAGACTCTTTATCTCCAATAAACCACTAGAAAACCGGAAGTGGCGCTATGGCTCAAGTGGTAGAGCGCTAGCCTTGAGCTGAAGAATGCAGGGACAGTGCCCAAGCCCAGAGTTCAAGCCCCACGATGGACCAAAAAATAAAAGGAAGGAATGTGTTTTCTCTTTTTTAAACCCTTATAATATTTAATTTATTTTGTTTTCCCAAGGTTTAACTCATTTATTAATTGTATACAATGATGTTCTTCTGTTTATTTTACAAAGATGCATATAATTTAAAAACAATGTAATTAAAATAAAAACTAAGTGAAAAGTTTTGTTTTCTTCCAAGAATTCCTCTATTCCTTCAGCTCTTCCTGAACCGATGACTGCTAGTGAAGCAGCTGCTAGGAAAAGCCAAATGAAAGCCAGGTAGGCTTTAAATTGAAAATGTATTTAAAAAAAAACAACAACAAAAAAACCCAGGTGACATCCTCATTGGTAAAATATCATCCTCACTGCCAAAAATTGTGTGTGGCTTAGTGAATGTGTTGGTTATAGATTGTGTAAATCAGATATTCAGACAGGCAAAGTGACCTTTGTGAAACTTAAGAGCTAGAGCATAAGACAGGAGTGAGTGGTGAGGAATGAAGCCTGAATGATAGGTAAATGTGTCTCAAGCAATATCATGTTGACAAATTTGGATATTGATCATTTTTCCCCCCAGTCCTGGGCCTTGAACTCAGGGCCTGGGCTCTGTCCCTGAGGCTCTCTATGCTCAATGCTAGAGCTCTACCACTTGAGCCACAGTCACTTCTGGCTTTTTTTGTTTATGTGGTACTGAGAATAGAACCCAGGGCTTCATGAATGCTAGCATGCACTCCATCACTGAGCCACATTCCCAGTCCAGGATATTGATCTATATGTCAGTGAATTTTCTAACAGCTCTGCTGTTTGGGATTCAGTTATGATGTGTGTTATAAATGATCAGCTGTTACATTTTTTGTTAAAATATTGTGAGTGACTTTTGAAGAAAATAAAAACACAGCACTTCTAAAAGTATCTTTATTCACTTGAATTTCAGACTGTTTTGTTGTGAAAGAGGTGGATGAAAATAGTTATATCTAATGTTTAGGAATTCAGCATGACCACTAATGTGTCTCATCTATGATGAGCTTTAATTAGAAGCAGCTGTTAGGGTTGTGCGGTAGTTATAAATTATTATAAGAGGGGCTGGGAAGGTGGCTCAGTGGTAGAGCGCTTGCCTTGCATGCCTGAGGCCCTGGGTTCGATTCCTCAGCACCACACAAGCAAAAAGAAAAAAGCTGGAAGTGGCACTGTGGTTCAAGTGGTAGGGCGCTAGCCTTGAACTGAAGAGCTGAGGGACAACGCTCAGGCCCAGAGTTCAGGCTCCACGACTGGACCCCCCCCAAAAAAATAAATTATTATAAGACTTAATCGTTGAATTTTATTTTTTTCAGTTTGTCAATTCTTTAGAAATAGATGCTGATATAAAAATCAACTGAGCAAAAGGAATGATTTGAGTATCTTCACTATTTTTTAGTTATAACTTGTTATAACTATGCTATAGTTATAATGTTATAGTGATGCAGTTATAAGAAATGAAATAGTGCCATCAAAATGTGCAGTGCTTACCTCTTTATAAAAATATTATGTGGATGGGTGAGAGTGCCTCACTCCTGTAATTTTTGCTCCTCAGGAGGATTGTGGTTTGGAGCCAGCCTTGACAGGAAAGTCTGTGAAACTCTGATCTCCAATTAACTATCAAAGAGCCAGAAGTAGAGCTGTGGGGTAGAACATAACCTTGAGGGAAAAAGCTCCGGGACAACTCCCAGGGTCTGAGTTCAAATCTCAAGACAGGTGTAAGAAACAAAACACAAAAACATACAATATATATTTATCAAAGCATACATAGTACTTCATTAATATGTACAATTTTTACGTGCCAATTTTGTAGAATTTCAGTGCATTTCTGTAATATGTAAAATATGTTATATATGAAAATATAAGATTGGTTGGTACTTACTGGCCATTAAGATAAATTTATTGTATATTTAAATGTACAAACTTTAGTATTGCAATTAAAGTTTTTTTTTTCATGTAAAAGGCAGATAAATCTCTAATAGCTGGTTTCATCACTCAGAAAAGGCATTTATGGGTGCTTCCCAGCTGTCTTTGACACTATTTGTTTTACATCTCAAAACCTACTCTGCCTCCCCAAATTTGCCTGTGTTCTTGGACTGTTAATATGTTACTCTAGGCATGGTGGCTCATAATTATAATCCTAGCTATTTGGGAGACAGCTATTTGGAGGGTTACACTTTAAAGCTACCCTGATTAAAGTTAGTGAGACTCCATCTCAACTAATAGCTGAGCATGGTGGCTTATGTCATCCCAGTTATATAGGAAACCTAAAACTGGAGGATTGTAGTCTTGGTTAGCTTGAGCATAAGGCTAGACCCTTCCTCCCAAAAAACTAAATCAAAAAGAACTTGGAGGATGGCTCAAATGGTAGAGTACCTACTTAACAAGCATGAAGCCCTGAGTGTAAACCCCCGTGTCACCCCAAGCCCCTCCCCCTAACAACAACAACAGCAAAACTCAAACATGTGTTAGTTAACTGACTTAGTTGCTTTAAAAATGGAAATTGTTGAAGCTGGGTGCTGGTGGCTCACACCTGTAAACCTAGCTACTCAGGAAGCTGATATCTGAGGATCATCGTTCATAGCCAGCCCAGGCAGGAAAGTTTGTGAGACTCTTATCTCCAATTAACCACCAGGAAACTGGAAGTGGTGCTGTGGCTCAAGCCTTGAGCTGAATTGCTGAGGGACAGCATCCAGGCCCATAGTTCAAGCTCCACAACTGACAAAAAAACAAAAAATAACACCAACACACACACACACAACCCAAAAGGATGGAAATGTCACACACACACACACACACACACACACACACCCAACCATAGTTCAAGCTCCACAACTGACAAACAAAAAATAACACCAACACACACACACACAACCCAAAAGGATGGAAATGTCACACACACACACACACAACCATAGTTCAAGCTCCACAACTGACAAAAAAATAACACCAACACACACACACACACACAACCCAAAGTGATGGAACTGTCACACACACACACACACACAAGGATGGAAATGTTGTGAGTCACTGCCCTGACATAGGGAAGTGCTGAAGGATTTTAAGCCAGAATCTGAGTCTTAGGAAGATTATTCAGGTGATGGGAGGGAAGCTCTGCTCTGTACTGTGGATCATGGTGGTGAAGGTAAGACAGTGCAGCTGTGTCCATGCAACTGTTACAGTTGGCTGATTTAGGCAATTTTGTGTCATCACTTTGTCTAGCCATTTTCTTCCAGTTATTTATATGGAAAATGCTTGGTTTTATTATTTTTATATTTTATATTATTATAATGAGATAATCTTTATTTAAAATTTTCTTTTTTTTCTTTAGACTTCAAGTTTTATTCTTTCCATTATTCTTCTACATAACATAATTAACGTTTCACTGTCTCTTCTCTGAGTTAGTTTGTAGTAACTCAGGATTAATTTGATTTAAGTGTTTTGGAGGGGAAGATTTTTTCAATTTTTATTGTGGTAACATACATAACCTACCATTTACTGTCTGAAAAAGTTTATTTTTTAATTTTTTTTTGTCCAGAAGTTTATTTTTTTATTTTTTTGTATCAATATTTTTTTATTGTGAAAGTACTGTAAAGAGGGGTTACAATTACATGGGCAAGATAATGAGTACATTTCTTATCAAGCATTGTAGCCTCCTCCTTTGTTTCCCTTCCCATCCCTTCCCATCCTCCTCTGCCCCACCCAATCCTCCCTGCTCAACACTCCCTCCCCCCCTGCACCAAAGTAAAATTTTCTATCTCTAGTTTTTATCTGAATCATTCTTAAGTCACGTTAAAGTAGAATCCATGAAATTTGTGAAGGTGTTAGCTTGGCACTAATTAATTTTACTGTTACATATTTTGTTGTGTTTTTGCCAATATGTGCCATGTTTTCCTAATTAAGTATACCATACATTTTTTGATAATAGAGTATCACACACTAGTTTACTAGATATTGCGTTGTATAAGAGATTCTATTACTTTGGTAAAATAGTCTTTTAGAATTTTAATATGCATTTTAGAGCTTTTGTGGTGTGTGTGTGTGTGTGTGTGTGTGTGTGTGTGTGTGTGTGTTAGTTAGAACATGGCAAGGTCATTTCTGACTTTTATTACTCTAATAAAAAAGGATAAACAGAAAGATTATATCTTCCTGATTACTTAGGCTTAGGGTGTAAGTGATTGGTTTTAATACCATATTTCATAATTTGAATGTACAAATACTTAATTTTCATTAAAATAAGATCTAATTGAATATATGTATAAATGGTCCCTTATGATCTTAATTCAAATTTTATGACTCATACCATATCCCTCATTCCAAACATGTATTCTTTTTAGAAGGTAACACATACAATATATTGCCACAATTGGAAAGTGTTTTGATTGTTTTTTTTTTCTTTCCTTTTAGAAAAGTTAACTGTTAAAAAAAAAAAAAGAAAAAAAGAAAAGTTAATTGTTAGCAGAGCTCCCTCTTGTGTTACTTACAAGAAAAGAACTGGCTATATGCAGTTGTAGGTTGGGTTTTTTTCCAAGTACAATAACTATACACTTGATAAATAAGATGTATGTTAAAATGTTAAGTATTAAATCCCTTGAAAAATTTTCAAAGGAATTTATTTAAAGAGATTTTATGGTAAATTCTCTCTACATTGAACATTTGACCCTATTAAAAATTTGTGTTTTTTTAACTGCATTTTTAGAAACCAAATGTGATAAATATATGTTAAAAATTTTCCTTGTTTCTTTTTTATTTAAAAGAAAAGCAAAAGTCTGTGTCTTCTTGAATTACATAAGCTGTCCCTTGCTTCCAAAAATGTGTATTCATGTTGCCTAAACTAAGTCCTTGTGGGAAAGATTTTATATAATTTCTATTCAGTGTTGTAAGTTAAACAAGGATTCAAGAAGTTTAATATGAGCAAATGGCTCCATCTGGTAAAAATGTGTTTTGTTTTTATTCTTTAGGGCACAGTATTTTCCTTCTCATGCCTTGTTTTTCTTTAGTGACCTAAGTCTTGATTTTGTCCGAAGGCTTATGAGAAAATTTGTTTTTCCTTCTGATCTCATTTTATTGCCTAGCAGCAATATTTAGTATTATGGCAGACTATGAATGGTAACATACTGTTTTAAGAAATATGATTAGTTTTAATACTATTTTTTGACTTTCCTATCTTCATTACACATTTACCTTTAGAGTGAGATGTAGGAGGGAGTCAAGAGGACTAATCTGATTGTCTGTAATTATTAAATTCATCTGTTGAAATACATACTTTATAATAGTACATTAGAAATAATCCCAATATTTAGAATGAGATGTATTCTTCTATTGTAGAATAACAGATACCATTGGACCAACAGAAACCTCAATTGCACCAAGACAAAGACCAAAGGCCTACTCTACTACTACTAGTGTGTTGACCATACAGAGTTCAACAACACCTGTTAAAGTCCCTGTTCCTGGTGAATTCAGTAACCACAGACCAAAAGGTATACAGACATTTCAATCCCATCCTCATTATAATAATCTCTTTATGGTTTGATTTCTTAGGAGCACAGATTACCAGCAAATCAATTTTGTTTTGATACTGGAGTTTGGCATTCAGGGCCTCAACTTGCTAGGCCAACGCTCTTAATGCAAAAACTTGCCTTCAGCCCTTTTTAGCACTGGTTATTTTTGAGATGGTGTCTTGCTTCCTGCCCTGATATGCACCTGGTGTGCACCTGAGATTATCCTATTTTTCACTTCTTGCCATAGTTGGGATGTGCATGTCACCATGCCCAACAATTGGCTGTAAAAGTGGTATTGTGAACTTTCCCCCAGCCTCCCAAGTAACTAGATCTACTACAGGTGTGAGCCACACAAGTCAGTTTAGCAAACTTAATATTGTAAAGCAGATAAAGCTTCAAGTTACAGTTTACTGATGTCTAATCAAGTTGTTTAGTTTTGAATTGGTTGCTTTGTAGCCAAGATTTTGGCAGGTGTTTTTTTAAATAATTAAATCAACGGATATATAATAAAAATGTACTGTGTAGTAGTTACAAAGTCAGTGGTCAAAATATTAACAACCTTGACCTCCCTACTGAAAACTATATATTGTGAAAGTTGGGAATATAATAAGAGAAGACTCTTATCTTTGACAGTAAATTTCTTTCAATATAAATCCTCAAGGTTTAAACACATATACTATCTTATCTTTGTAGAGAATGTGATTCTCAGTGGGTATGTGGATTATAGATTAGTTAAGCTCTAATCATGTGTCTGATCCTCTCTATCTGTAGTTACTTGACTTGTTGATGAATTCATTTAATTTCTACAAGTCTCAGTTTTATCATTTGCAAATGGGGAATAATGATAGGAATATTTATGACTCATTATTTTTAGGTAAATTGTATGATTATGTTTGAGGTTCTCTGGTATTCTATTGCTTTGGTTTCAAGGTCAAGGAGCTCTCCTGCCTGACAGTATTAGTTATTCTATGATTATATTTGGGTTATGTTTAGGCTCTAGCATTCAGGTAGTTACTAAGGCTATGACACATAGATGTGTATCTGAGGAATCTAATTTCTAGATATGCTTCCAACTGAAAAGAAATTAAAAAGCTAATGTTGATTATGCCTGTGTTATGGGACTATGATTTTTAGTTTCATCCTCACATTTTTATAAATATTTTAAAGAATCATTAAAATGAACATACCTTTTTCTTACAACTTGAAGAGTTAAAAATAGAAAACATTTCATAGTCATTGTACTTGAGGAGGTTTGGAAATACTAACATTTTGATGGAAAAAAGAATCCTTTCCTCTTTGCATGCTCTTCCTTTTTCTCTTCACTCTTTAGGATTAAAGAGTCTTGTATTTCAGTGGATTTTCCATCAATATAACAAAATGTCTAAGACAGTAATAGGAGGTAAAGCTTTATTTTGGCTCACGGTTTTAGAGGTTCTAGTCTGTGATTGGGTAGATCCATGTTGTTTAGGTCTGTAGTAGAGGAAGGGCAGGGAGTGCCAGGAAAGTGGAAGAGGGATGGGCCATGGTCCCACAATCTCCTTCAAGGACAAAACACAGTGTCCCAAGGATATCCCATGAAGATCCATCTGTTAAAGCTATCCATTACCTCTTTGTATTCCCATCCAGAGTACCAGAGTGGAGTACCTTAAACATCCAAACTATAGCAGTTGTGTTTAAATTGAGCTTAAATTATTGGAAGTGAACAAAGATATTTTAATGTTTTAGTGTATTGCTCTTCCTTTTTTTTAAAGTTGTATAGCTGTTTTAGCTGATTTCAGAAGTTTTAATAGAATTTTCCTAGGGTTAAAATTTGTAGAGCTTGAAGTAAATGGGTATTTAGAGGAAAGCATTTAGTTAGCATCTTTGATATAAAAGGCTCTTTATGGTTGTCCTAGATAAATAAGACATCACCTCAGGATTCCTGGTTAGGAAATAGGTATCTAAACCAATGATACACCTAGGATTTAATGCAATGTAATAAATTGAGTGATTCTTAGATGAAAGAATAGGCAAGAGTTCAGCAGGTGCAAAGTGGCATTCTAGACTGAGTTCTGTTCTTAAGGGTACTTGATAATAGTGGAAAGGTATAGAAAATACTCTTGTGGCTTGTGTGTTCATGGATTTGTTCACATTTGTAGATGATAAACACACACATTCATACACAAATTAGGGATGTGCTTTTACAGCAACATCTGTGTGAACTTGAACCTCTCCCCCAACTGTAGTAATGATAAGATTTAGTTTCCTAGACACTTGCAATTAAGGTAAATAATTCCTTTAGGGTATATGCACATAGGATATGTGATAAGGTGATGAAGTTGTGTTAAAGTATGAATATAGACGCCTTAGTTGGATAAATGTTGAAGCTTAGTCATTTTATTGAAATCTTTAGTGTATTAGTATTAAGTTTTTGGAAATCTATCACAGGAGCAATGAGACCTGGAAATAGTCCTGAAATGTTACTGGGTCAGGGGCTCCCTCAGCAGCCTCCACAGCAGCATAGAGTACTTCAACAACTACAACAGGGAGATTGGAGATTACAGCAACTTCAGTTGGAGCATCCCCAACCTCACCACCAGCAGCAGCAGCAGCAACAGCAGCTACTTCAGGATGCTTATATGCAGCAGGTAGTTCTTTTGTATCCTCTACTTCACATGCATGTATGTAGCAGGTGGTTCTTTTGTTACTGTACAAGTGGAAGCAATATGGTAAATTCATGAGACAATTGAATTTGCTTTCTATTCATGTGTACCTTGAACTGACTTCAACCAACCATTTCCCCTAGTTTCCTGATTATTAAAGAGAATGTAGTTAATTGTTATTTGATGAGACAGTTAAACACAATGTTAAAATAGGTTATATCATAGCCTTATGAAGCAAAGAATGTTCATCTGATTATTTGATATCCAGCATGAAGTACTGCAATTTATGATGAATCTTACCTATTTTATGTTATAACTTGAGTTCACGGATTAATAATACTTTTGTAAAAAAAATCTTTTTGGAAATAACTTTATCTTTGATATTTGCTAGATAGATTTTTAAAATGGTTTTGACTGGTTTGGCCTTGGGGCAAGAAGAGAAACATTCAGAGTTGGAAAGAACACAGAATAAACGTGACCTTAAGTTCTGTGCTGGCCTTTGCCTTCTGGTTTCATTCAACTTAGTGAACTAATGTGAATTAATATTATCATTTTATAACTGCATGAAATATTTTAACCTAACATTTATGCATGATCAATACTTAAAATTGGAATCCATTAAAAAACTGTGAATAATACTGATTAGTTCTTTTCCCCTCTCAATATAGTATCAACATGCAGTGCAGCAGCAACAGATACTGCAGCAACAGTTTTTAATGCATTCAGTATATCAGCCACAACCTCCTGCATCACAGTATACCACAATGGTATGTAGAGTGTAATTTCTAGAGATTACCTTCAAGGTGTGTAGTGTAGGGTTGGAAGTATGAATAGTACTAATTAGAATTGAGTAATTCGAAATCAATTTTAGTTAATATACATGTATTTTATTGAAGCCAGTATATATTCTCAAGCAGCTTTAGTTTGTGCTGAACTATAGCATCTAAATATGGCACATGGTAATTGATAGATAATATATATGGAAAGTGATCTGTACCAGTGATGTTTTGCTGTACTGTATATCTCTTTCATTCAGCAAATACCTGTTGAGTAACAGTGAAATCCCAAGAGAGAGTATATTTGCTTCAGACCATCATATTAGTATGTTTAAGCTACTCTCTTTTCTTTCCGTAAAATACTTAAAGGAGGAATTTTTTTTGGGGGGGTCCAGTCGTGGGCCTGAACTCTGGGCCTGGGCGCTGTCCCTCAGCTCTTCAGCTCAAGGCTAGCGCTCTACCACTTGAGCCACAGCGCCACTTCCGGCTTTTTTCTTTTTGCTTATGTGGTGCTTAGGAATCGAACCCAGGGCCTCAAGCATGCAAGGCAAGCGCTCTGCCACTGAGCCACCTTCCCAGCCCACATAAAGGAGGAATTTTTATCTGATCAAGTGAGTCTGTTTTGTATCATTAGTGGACAAAATTTGTCCTGTTATAGTTTCTAGTAACAACCTGTTCCTTCAAATATGCATTTTTTTCTGCTTCTGGTTTTGTCCCCAATGAATGTGAAAAGGAAGGAGCATAGTATAAATAGATACAGTGCTGTCAGTACTTCAGTGATTGGATTATTGATGTGTATATTGCTGTTTCTTATTTCAGATGCAGCAGTATCAGCAAGCTTTTTTACAACAACAGATGCTAACTCAGCGCCAGCAGTCTCAACACCAAGCATCACCTGAATATCTTACATCCCCTCAAGACTTCTCACCAGCCTTAGTCTCCTATGCCTCATCACTTCCAGGTCAGGTTGGAACCATGGACTCCTCTTACAGTACCAGTAGGCAAGTATTTTTCCAGTGAATGCAAGTGGACGTGGATGTAATTGATGAGTGGAATCATGAAATGGTTCTTGAATAAATTTTGAGTTATTTTGCTATAGAACTACCTTTTCCCCCCTAGTCCTCTCTATGTTTCCTTACCCTTCATTCCATTCCCATTTGTTAGTTCTGCTAATTACTCCTTGCTGACAAGGCTTAGCATCTTCTAGCAGCATTTATAATTAAGGGAATTATTAGCATATATGAAAAGACATTTTTAGTAACTTACTATAAACAAAATCTTAATGAGCTACTTTAATAGTTAAAAAGAAGTAACCTTGTCAAAGGTTAATTATTTCTAGCTATATGCTAATCATTTTAATTGATTTGACTACTTGTAAAGTTTCTGTAATTTGGTTTAAACAAGGGCTTTTAAAAATATATAGTAAAAATATGTATAGTGACAATAATATAGTGCTGCCAAGGGGAAAGTGAATTTAAAGGAGTTAAGGCTTGTAAAATTGAGATCTTTCTTTGAACATGGAGATTCTTCCTCCATTGTCGATGGAGAGTCTATCTGGATTTCAATATGAGAAGTTGACAGCTTTGTTTCTTCACCTCATTTCTGTGCTGTGTTTTCAGAGTGAGTTGAGGGAGAGACAACTAGGACTCCTGAGCTAAGTTTTTAGGCTCACGTCTTACCTCAGAAGCTAAGAGGCTTGTCTAAGATAACTCTCATAGAGCAAGTAGTCTAAGGCTTCAGATCATAGATACTGTGAGTAATTTTATAACATATATACCAGATAAGCTTCATTTACTTAGTTGCATGAAGGAAGGAATGTCTTTTTTCTAAGACATTTTCATATAACCAGGATGTATGATGTATAATCTCTGTACAGTATTAATAGGAACTGTGGAGTATGGTAACTGATGGTCACTTTAAGACTTGTCCTTTTGAGAATGTTAAATAATATATGTGGATGGAGTGCTTGCTTTTTTTTAAACCATGTATTAAATCATTTAAACACTTCTGTAGCTTTATAATATAGATACTGTCACCCCTTTATCAGAGGTGATGAGTTGAGACATAGAAAGGAGTTAAGGAACACACCAATATATTTTAGTAAGACGGTTACAGAGCTAGTAGTGTGCTTTTATACTCAGATCCCAAGGTTTCTTTCTCTCCATCCCAGCCATCTCCACTATAATAAAATGTGGTTTTCTAAATGTGAACTGGGAAGCTGAGGTTTCCTTAATTGTAATGTGATTTTTCTTTCTTTTTTCCTCCTCAATTATTCTAGTAGATCAATTGCTGAAAAAGAAGCAGTGGCAACTTTTACAGATCAGAAGAACATCAGTAACCCACCTGATATGTCAGGGTGGAATCCTTTTGGAGAAGATAATTTTTCCAATTTAACAGAAGAGGAACTTTTGGACAGAGAATTTGACCTTCTAAGATCAAGTAAGGGACACTTGAAGGCTTATTTTGCTTCACAGTAAAATAGCAACTTTATAATTATTCAGCAAGGCCAAAGACTGTCTTGAGGGGTATATAGAAAATGCTCTTTGTACATTTGAGGGCAAAATTCAGGCCATCTTTTTTCATATATATACATACACACAGGTTGTGTATATTTGAAATTAGTTGCTTGGTAGTAGCTCTTAAGCTCAAGATTCCTGATAGTATACTGATATCCTAACACTTAAATACTGCATTTCTATGAATGTTAAGTTCAGAATATCTCTGAAACATGGAAAATTAATGTCCAAGCAAAAAGAGAGACCGTAGTATATTGCCTTACTAATCATTTTGCAGCTATTTTCTTGCACACTTGATAGAAAAGATTGTGGGTCTGAGTTGCCCTTTGAAAATGCCTGAAAAAAATGTGGGTTACTACATTATGTTAATGCATTGTAATGTCCTTTTAATGAGTGGTAATATAAAAGGGCTGCTTTGTTGTCTGCTATGGCAAAAGTTAAATAAATTCTTTTCCACTTTAAATCAGATATCTCAATGTTTTTACTTCATTGCCTTTTCTCAAACTACTTACTATATATGTCAAACCTCACCACACCTATTTTGTAAATGTTCTCTTTAGGAAGATAGTTCGTAAAATAGGAGCAAAAGCTCATTTTTGAATTGAGGCAGTGTTCAGGTTTCTGAGGTTTAGTGTGTATGTGTGAATGTGCAGGTGTGTGCACACACACGTATGTTTTACCCTTTCTGTATGTGAAAAGAAAATACCAGTAGCCCCCATTTTCTAATTTTGATTTTATTTAGGTTACTGGCCTTATGAATGCCTTTAGTGGTTGAAATGCTTTGTTCTGAATTGGTACATATTTTATGTGAAATTTATAAATGGCCGACATTCACATTAAGAATAGTTTAAATTTGTATTTTAAATTTGTATTTTACATATTAGCTATACATTATGGAAATTAATTTTATTATTGAATATAGATATAGAAATGAGTTTTGAGCCTTTAATAAAGCTTTGTTAACTTTGGTAAGACCGATTACATCCTATTAAAAAGATATTTTTCTAAACCACAACTTTTGTTTGGCCTTTTTCCTAGAATTTACATGAAATAGTCCTAAAAACAGATTATAAGAAAGGAAATAAAGTTTGTCTTTCTTTTGAAAGGACAGAAAGGAGTAGCCAAATTATAACAATTTATATGATTATTTTAAAAGCAAAAGTATTACTTTTAATGTGTACTTTCAAGGTTTTGGTAAATCAGTATTTGTCCTTCTATAGTAAAACCAAACAACAAAAATATCAAATCTTTTTTTTCTTTAAGAAAAATAAACTTAGGATAGGCAAATGATTCTCACTCTTTTGTACCTTATAAAAAGTGCTATTCTAAACATTTAGAATATATGTTTTATTTATTTGGCATAGATGAGAATGGCATGTATATATGTCTGCATGTATAAATTCATAAAAATTTGAGTTTAGCTTGTAAAATTTTGAACCAGCGATTTATTTTTAAACTTCAAGGTTAGATAGAATATAGTTCTCTCATATGTTGTACATGAGAGAATCTGTGTGTGCCACAGATTATGTACATTTCATGCCATTATTAATTATAGAGTGCTATTAGGTTCCCGATGAAAGTGTAAGAACAACTTTATGTGAATGTCAGACTTGCAACATTGGAAACCTCTGCTATTTGGAAAAATCATCTAAATGGCCACTGAAATGACTGAAATTTAGTTACTGAAATTATTACTTCAATTTTTTTGTACTGCATTCAGTACCAGAAAACATGAATTGTATCCCAATAATAGCATTTAACTGGGTAGTAATCTCAGTCACTCAGCTGCTGTTAATCTTTATCTTGTGCAAACATTGAGATAGATACAGATAATGCATATCTCAAAGTTTCAGGAAAACAATAAATGATGTCTTTAGTAAGAAAAAATCCACTTAAAATTTTTTTTATTGTAAAAATATTGTACAGAGGGGTTACAGTTACATGAGTAAGGTAATGAGTACATTTCTTATCGAGCATTGTTACCTTCTCCTGTGTTTTTCCCCTACTATATCTGTCTCCACCCCACCTCCCCGTTTGTAAAGTTCATTTTCAACATAGTGTCCAGTTTCTTATTTCTTAATGTTAAGCTTTTAGACTCTGATATAGGAGGTCTTTGGTGGTTAGTTGACATACAAAAGTTCTGTATCAGTTTTCTCAGCTGGTAAGTTAAAAACAAATTAGCTTTTTGTCAAACAACAACAGCAGAAGAGACAAATTAAAGTGAGGAAGCAGGTGGAAAAGTGTCTTTATCTCCTAATATTAAATAGCTGTTGTAATAGGCTTCAAAGAAAGCATAATATGTTTAATAAAATTTATGAAGAATTGATAAGGCATAGAACATAGTTGAGAAACCATTTCCTGTTAGTAATTGAAGTATTTAGTCATCTTTAGTATCTCTTTAGATCTATTTGATCTATTTGATAGAGTTTAAATTAAAATTGGCAAAAATCCTCTTGTAGAACCTTAAGAATTTTAGTAGAAGACTAACAATGTAGAAAAATTGATGGTTGGTCATTACAGGTTGGTTCCTCTCTCCCCAACAACTATTTTCCAAAATGAATAAAATTGTCATTGCATTTAAAATGCCCAAAATGTTTACATTTCTTCTTGGCACATATTTATTAAGAATGTTCAAAAATGTTAAAAATTGGGGCTGGGAAGGTGGCTCAGTGGTAGAGTGCTTGCCTTGCATGCATGAGGCCCTGGGTTCGATTCCTCAGCACCACATAAGCAAAAAAGAAAAAAAGCCGGAAGTGGCACTGTGGCTCAAGTGGTAGAGTGTTAGCCTTGAGCTGAAGAGCTGAGGGACAGTGCCCAGGCCCAGAGCTCAGGCCCCACGACTGGACCCCCACCCCAAAAAAAGTTAAAAATTTATATTTGGTTTATTAAGTGTTTTTTTTTAACAGATTAAAGACCTTAATGTATGCCTTAAGAATATAGAGGGCTGGGAAGGTGGCTCAGTGGTAGAGTGCTTGCCTTGCATGTATGAGGCCCTGGGTTCGATTCCTCAGTACCACATAAGCAAAAAGAAAAAAGCTGGAGTGGCGCTGTGGCTCAAGTGGTAGAGTGCTAACCTTGAGCTGAAGAGCTGAGGGACAGCGCCCAGGCCCTGAGTTCAGGCCCCACGAATATAGACATTGTCTGTGTAATGGTGTAATAGTTTCAAAGTGATCATAGAATAATACACTGCTATATGAGATTTTACTTTTAAAATGATACATAGTTATTTTTTTTAAGGAAAAAGGAATTGCAGCCTAGGAAGAAATATATTACTTTGAGTATATTATCCAGAAATCTTATTTTAGTAGTTGCTAAATATTTAGTAGTTGGTAAATATTATTTCTGTAGTGACCTTTATGAAAACAGTTGATTCTATATATTACGTGGAAGAGATTTAACATGTAAGTTAGTCTTGCTTTTAATTTCAGTATAAATGAATGCTATTTGTAATTTAAAGATTCTTTTTTTTAATGATTCTTAAGATGAACACATTAAATCAAAAGCTTGTCTCAGTGATTTTTTTAAAAAATACAAGCTTGTCTTTGTCACCTTGTGTAATAGTTTTTTGGGGAAATTTTCAACTTGCATTTGTTCAAATAGTTATATATTTCTAAATGTTAATAATAATGAAATTCTTTTTGATGATGGATTCATCTGAGGCTATTTAAAATTTCAACAAAATAACTAAAAAGAGCAGTAGTAGATGCCAAAGACTGGTTGATTCACATTTCTACTGAATATTGTTTTACTTATGATGCCACAGAATAAAGTACATATAAACTTTGGAATTTATAGTTCATTGTAAAACATGAACTGATATCTTCTTGTAGCTCAGACATGGTACTGGGCCTTCAGTGCAGAGTGACACTTTTTTTTTAATCTATAAAAATGTTTTCACTAGTATCTGATAAATCTTTTATCTATATAACCATTAGGCCATTTTTTTGAAAAAATAGAAGAAAATTTAGAGTTATTTTATTGTGAGATATGTTTTTAATCTAGGATTTCTAAGTCCTGTATTTTTAGTATCTATATCAATTAAAATTGATTAAAAGAGCCTTTATTTGTGGACAGAATTCTTTTGGAAAGACAGGAGAAGGTAAGTTGTTTATAAGCTCAAGCTTGGATCTCCTCTAAGCAGAACTACTCTTTTGAAAAAGGTACTTAACTTCCCTTTAGAGGTGACTATGTATTTGAAATGTAGCACTTAACCATTTTAATTTCTTTTTATTTATAGGTGTTTCAAAATTCTTATGTAGTCATTATGTGTCATTAGTGTCCAGGGACCCAGATTATTATGTAGACATTAGAAATCTGATTTTTAGAAGTCCAATAAAATTGATTTCTTGTTATATATGACACTGAGAATATTCATCATTTTATTATAAATTTATATGATTTCTGATATAATTGGATAAATGAACTTTCCATAGAACAGTGTTTTCCATATTTTATTTATGGTGACTCTTATTTACCATTATATCATAATGTTGGTGCTTGATATAACTGCACAGTGCTACTTACATATTTACCATTAATTTACTATAGATTGATGAAGAAAATATACCAAGTACATAAGTATGCAAAGCACCTTAGTAGAAATTTTGTGATTTTATATACTAGGAACCATTGGTCTAGTAGTTGTTTATAAGTTTGGCCAGTGTATGTATTAAGGTGCAAATTCTCAAGTTCCTGCTTAGGTAATCTTACTCATTAGGTCTGTGGTTGGGATAGGTAAAAGTATTTTGTTCAGGCCTCCTTGAAATTTTGATACAGATGTTTAGGACCAGATTCCTTCCTTAAGGCTTCAGTACCAATATTCTAAGTCATGATTTTGGAAAATGAAGGTTCTTCTATATTGTTGTGTGGGGTTATCACTCTGAATCTAAGGATGTAGAAGGCTAGCGTAGGAAGACTCAGAACAAGGCAAATTCGTTTCTGGCTTGTAATTACTTTGTAATTTTATTCAGAGCCTGACAAAATAATTACTGACATGTAATTTCAATGACCTTTTTTTTTTTTTTTTAAAGAAAGATGCTATGAGACTAACTTCTTTGACAATGAAGTATGTTCTGTATTGTTGTGTGGGGTTATCACTCTGAGTCTCCCATGGTGCAGTGAATTTTTTTTGCTGATTTCCTGAATTAAGTTACACAGTTGCTATCTTTTAAGATACTTAAGAACAATACTTAAGGGATTGGGAAGTTGGCTCAGTGGTAGAGTGCTTGCTCCTCATGCCTGAGGTCCTGAGATTGATTCCTCAGCACCACATAAGCAGAAAAAAGCTGGAAGTGGTGCTGTGGCTCAAGTGGTAGGGCACTAGTCTTGAGCTGAAGAGATGAGGGGACAGTGCCTAGGCCCAGAGTTCAGGCCCCCAAACCAACAAAAACAATAATACTTAAAATAAGTTTTGCATTTTATTTTCAGTTTGGGGTTTGAAAAGTGGAACTTAACATTAGAAACGTATTTGTTCCAAAATCAATTGGCAGATTGTTTTTGATAACTCAAAAATCAGAGCCTACAATTCAATATTAGCATTTCAACAAAAGGTTAAGAAAATTTTCTGTGTGTGTGCCCATGTGCATGCCAGTGTTGGGGATTGAACTCTGGGCCTGCATGTATTGCCCCTTAGTTTTTTTGCTTAAGGCTGGTGCTCTACAACTTGAAGACAGCTCTACTTCTGGCTTTTTGGAGGTTCACTGGAGATAAGACTTTCCTGTTAAGGCTGGCTTCAAACTTTGTCCTTTGAACTCAGCCTCAGGAGTACCTAGGATTAAAAGTGTGAGCCACTGGCACCCAACTGTTGATTAAGTAAAATGTGCATAACCAAAATTCCATGATGTTGGTGCATGTAGAGTTTGTCTTAAAAATAATTTATCTATTTAAACATGTTTTTTAGAAACTTGTCATATGAATAATTAAGCATCTTAAGGTTATTAGTTATTCCAGGACCTCCCCTTCTCTAGAGTGTTGGACTCACACAATTACCATATTGAAGTGCAGAATCTCAGGATGCACTTCCCATACATGGAAACAGAATCCACATTTTAATTCCATACTGATTAGAATGCACAGTAAATTTGACAAGAATTGTTTTAGGGGATGCTACTTTACCTTGGGCCTCTTACTTCTTCTGAAGTTACAAGTCATTCTTAGGAATTCAGTTTATGTGGATTCCTCCTCTTCACCCTGAAGCCATGTAAAGCCCTGTAAAGAATTCATGAAAATAGCCAAATATAAATTGAATTCCTTTGAATGGCTGTGGACCAAGGTCTAATCATGGGAATGACTAGAATCTTGAAAAATTAATCTCAAGTAGTATAATTTTGGTTGCTAAGAATCAAAGGTTAATGAGATCCTATAAAAACAGTAGGCAATTTACTTACCATGTGGTTAGTTTCAGAACTGGGAACTATGGTCATTACTGGGAATTAAGATATGTCACCGCTTCATTAAATACCCTGGATGTACCCCACCTATTCATTTGACTCTGTTCCTTCTCCTCCTCTGGGTTCTTCTCTAGATATCCATACATAGCCTACTTCACATATTTTTTGCACTTAGTAATTATAAGAATCACTATCTTTGCTGGTACCCATTCCCCCATTTTTTCTATAGGTTATTTTTAATATACTGTGTATATTTGCATATGTGTGTGTAGAGCTGGGGATTGGTTCCTGGGTATTACAGGTGCTAGACAAGTGCTCTACCACTTGAGTTGTGGTTCCCAACCACCTATTTTGTTTACATTTCTTACTATACTATTGCTTCCTCTCCCCCTATGAGCATATAAAGTAAGGTTTTTTTCTTTGATATAACATAGAATTACTGAGAAATGAATAATGAAGTATAATGAATATTATTTATTGCTATTGGAAATGAACAATAGATACCTATTCAATGGATGAATGACCATTGAAATATTTTTTCCTGTGAATTTTTGGAGAAAGTCTGCCAAATTTGACTTTGCTTAGTAAGCAGGGTTTAAAATTCATTCAGTCCAATGTGTTTCAAGTTGTAAACAGCTAATATTTTATGAAAATTTGGAATCTCAGTAGTGCTCTAAAAGAATGTTACTTTCATTTTCACTTTGATTTGTTACTGCATATTACTTTTGCTTTAAGTATCATTTTTATTTTATTTTATTTTTTTGTTCCATCTTATTTTTGCAGACAGGCTCAAGGAGAGAGCATCCTCAGATAAGAATGTAGACCCACTTTCTGCTCCACTTAACCATCCTCCAGAAGATCCTTTTGGTTCTGTTCCTTTCATTGCTCACTCAGGCAAGTTACAAATGTAACATCCCTACCATTAAAAAGTTCAAGAACTACACAACAAAACCTTATTATTGGAAAGCAGGAGTAAGAATCAGGTGTTACAGAAAGTGTAGTAGAAAATTACTTTAACCTGTTGCCAACCTGGTGTTCCAAATGTTCCACCTTTTAGGTTAATTGTACCTTTGTCAAAGTAGAAAAATGCTGATTTACATGATAGAAATAATTACTCTTATTTTTTACTTTTATTATGGGATACCTTAAAACTGCATGCATATAAATAATCTTATTCCTTTATGTATTTAATGTACCTTTAAAGATACTTTAATCCTTAGCCTTTTGCTTAAAAATCTAAGTTCTCTTGTAGTTGTTTTGCTACTCTTCTTAGTAGCCTTTGGATTTTAACTCAGAATTTAAATATTGATATTACCTACTATTTAAAAATAGTTTTTTAATTGGCTCAAGTAGTAGAACACTTTCCTAGCAAGCCTGAAGCCCTGAATTCAAACCCTAATATCATCAATAAATAAATGTATGTATGAATATATATATATATATATGTAATAATTCCAAAGTAATTGTCCCATTAACACTTGAAAGATTCTTTGGCATAAATTGAATGTATGTGTCTGTATGATCATAGGACAAACAAGTCTTAATCTTTATATTGTGAAGTATATTAGAAAATGCTTCGTTAGAAGCAAGTTTTGAGATTTGTTTTTAGTTTGAATTGTCAAGATTTTGGGTTTTGGTTTTCTTTGGTTCAGTTCTATTTATTTCTTTAAAGCAAGTTCCATAGTACTCACTGTTATTTAAAAAATACATGCACGAGTAACAATAAAAGAAAAACTTAGAATGTACGGCCAAAATATGAAGTGTGTGTTTAGAATTTCAGATGGAAATTGGATTGGGATTCTGCCAGTTTTTTTTTTTTTAACCAGTTAGACTTGGTTATCTGGAGCAGTTAGTACATTAATCAAAATTGATTCTAATTGTTGTAACAGTCCATGGGTTGATCTTTGATGTTGCTGAAAACAGTCTTTATCCTTGCTATTCTGTTTTCTGCCTTCATTTGTCTTTTTCATGCATACATTCTTAACTGGGAATGATGAGTAACAGTGTATTTAATCTGTATAAATGTCCATTTCACTCCTAATATCCTGTCAAAAGGGTGTTCTTTTTCTTTAACTATAATACCTTAAAGTATCTTTTACACTTTGCAAGAATATAACTCAATGATGAAGGTTTGCAGAGAGCAATTTCAGGACTACCTCTATTGTGTACTATGAAAGGAGTTGCATTAGTTTTTCAGGTTTGCATGTATCTATGCAGCTACTCCCCTGTTCTTCAGTGACTTCTGACAGTTCCCTGGAAAAATGCAACAGTAGAATCAGGAACTGGAGTGAACTCAAATGATATTTTATCTGGACACTTTTATTTTTAGGTTTACTTTGGGATTTTGTAATTAATTAGCAATATGCTAGCAAATTTGAGCTTGATTGCTGTTATTATTTTATTTAACTTTGTTTATATAGTTGTCTGGTAGATTTAAAGATTTTTTGGGGGGAGGGGGTCCAGTTGTGGGGCCTGAACTCTGGGCCTGTGCGCTGTCCCTAATTTCTTCAGCTCAAGGCTAGCGCTCTACCACTCGAGCCACAGCGCCACTTTGGGCTTTTTTTCTTTCTTTTTGCTTATGTGGTGCTGAGGAATCAAACCAAGGGCCTCATGCATGCAAGGCAAGCGCTCTACCACTGAGCCACCTTCCCAGACCAATTTAAAGATTTTTGAAAGTTGGAAATATGATTTGCTTGTGTTTGATCCAGCCCAGTAGTCAAACCCAGTGACTTAATAGTCATTGAATATATGAAAACATAACTATCCATAAAAAAGTACTCTATATACTTCTTACACAGTGATCCTAACAAATACTATTTAATATAAATGCACTCTCTGCAAACTTTTTATAGTGTGAACATGCACACTGCTTTATAGTCAAATAGATAAGATGGTCTGATTATTAAAAAGTAAGTACAGGAAATGGCGCTGTGGCTCAAGTGGTAGAGGGCTAGCCTTGGGCTGAAGAGCTGAGGGACAGTGCCCAGGCCCTGAGTTCAAGCCCCATGACCAAAAAAAAAAAAAAAAAGTTCAAGCTAAAAAGTAAGTACACAGACTAAAATAAAGGAAGGAATGAATGCTCATAGGAGAAATATATCTTAGAGAGGGAAGAAAAAGTGACCACTGTATTAATATTGTTAAATTGCTCCTATCATAGCCAAAATGTAATGAAATAAAATTGTAAAATTGTATTGGCCTATATATTATAGAGCTTAGAAGTATTTTGTTATAAAATTTTAGGTAAAAATAGGGCATTAAGGGGTATTCATAAGCTTTAGGGTAAAGTTGAGGAAAACACATTTTACCCAGTGAAAATATACTCCACCATAAATTACGTTATGTGAAGTAAGCCAAGTTCAGAAACACAGACAACACGTGTTTTCTCTCATATTTGGATGTTAAATCTAAAATATACTGGGAAATGATCAATCATACAGGACTTTAGGCATTCACACATAGTGAGACTAAAGGAAGATATTCTTAGGAGAGGAACACAAAGGAACAATGCCTACATACTTCTGATCATATAAAATAATATTTATTGAAATGAATTCCCAAGAAATGGAAACAGGAAGGTTTTTCTTTAAAAAACAAAAGGAAAGTAAAAGAAAATATATTCCACCTAGCACTATTAGACTATTTCCTGGAGATTTCTATGACTGGGACAGAAAAAATGTTTAAGAAAAACTCCTAAGAATGTGTGTAAATATCATACAGAATAAGTATATGGGATAAACCATCTTAGTTGAATTTGGATTTTGAAGTTACTAAACAATTTCATTTTAGTTAAACCAGGTAGAAATGCTTGAATAAAATAATTTAATTATATATCAACATGCTATAAGAATTTAGCAAATTTTAAGTGTAATGCTAATGGGCATTTAAGAACCACTGTCTGGAATCTAGTGTTTCTTATACTGATTTTATTTAGAAATTATACTAAGTTAACTCTTCATCTTTGTGTGTGTGTGTGTGTGTGTGTGTGTGTGTGTGTGTGTACACACCCCATTTCTGGGCTTTAATTCCTGGCTGGGGGTGTTGTCCGTTAGCTTTTTCTCTCAAGGCTCGTGCTTTACCACTTGAGCTACAGCTCCACTTCTGGCTTTTTGGTAGTGAATTAGAGTTATGAGTCTCATGTACTTTTTTGCCCAGGCTGGTTCTAATTGTGATCCTGAGATCTCAGCCTCCTGAGTAGCTAGGATTACAGGTGTGAGCTATAGGTGCCCAGCTAAGAACTTTAAAGCTTAACCTTAACATTGTATTTTAATTTTGTCTTCAGTTATTTCATAAAATAATTTTAAGTTAAAATTTTATTGAAATAATTCTAAAAGTGAAATTTAGCAAGGTTAATAATGAAATTTTAAAAATCTCCATGACTTATTAGTTTCCTTTCCTTAAAAACTTGTAGAGAGCCAGGAGCTGGTGGCTCATGCCTGTAATCCTAGCTACTTAGGAGGCTGAGATCTGAGGAACATGATTCAAAGCGAGCCTGGGCAGGAAAATCCATGAGACTATCTCCAATAAACCACCAGAAAACCAGAAGTGATGCTGTGGCTCAAGTGGTAGAGTGCTAGCCTTGAGCTGAAGAGCTGAGGGACAGTGCTTGGGCCCAGAGTTCAAGCCCCATGACCAACAAACAAAACAAAACAAAACCCCAAAACGTGTAGAGGTAATTTTTCTTTTCTGGCATTTTAATATGTAATTCTTATTCTTTTTTTTAAAACCTCATCTCACCCCAGTTTTAGACATATGCAGACTTCCTAGTATCAGACATGAGAATATGGGTTAATTGGACTGTTTTCCTATATTATATGTGCAATCAACCATACATATATAACAATATGACATATAATGGAATTTTGTTTGATGAGGGACTACATATACACCACAGTCCTGGAGATTATATTTTATTAGTGCTAGACATGGAGCTTAGTTGTACAGCATGTGTATAAAGCGCTGGACTTGATTCCTAGCACTTACAAAAAAGCCTGTATTTCCTGCTGATGCTGTCTTAATTTTTATTAGTGTACCCTCTGATGTTTACATGAAGTAGACTGCTGATGTATTTCTCAGAGCATATCCTGGTCACTAAATGCATGGCTGTCTTTCCTGTCCTTCAGCACAATGTACACACACTATTTGGTTACCTTTGTAGCCAGTATACATGTGTGTGTGTGCACACGTGTTTGTGTATGCATACATGCACATGTGTACCAGTCCTTGGGCTTTAACTCAAGGTTTGGGTGCTGTCTCTGAGTCTTTGTGGTCAAGACTAGTATGTTACCACTTGAACCATATCTCCATTTCTGGCCTTTTTTGGTAGTTAATTGTAGGTAAGAGTATCATGGACTTTCCTGACTGAGCTTGGTTCAGCTTGTGATCCTCAGATCTCAGCCTCCTGAGAAGCTAGGATTATAAGCGTGAGCCACTGACACTTGGCAACATTTTCAAATGCATAACTATGTCTAACTCCTCAGGTTTTGTATATCATGTTCACATTTCCTTCCTTTTATAATTCCTGGAGTAGCAGAGTACTATATATGTAATTACAAAATTTTTGTTTTCTTAGTTTTTTTATGTTCCTTCATTGATTCATCTATATTTGGAAGTGTAAATTTCCTTCCAGATTAGCCATTATTTTCATGAAACTGTAATTTGACTTAACTGTTTTGTAGGTCTGGCATATTCCTTTAATTGTAGTATCTTATTTACCCTTTAGTATTTCAGAAATTCTTGTGCTGTCCTTCTTCATCTGTCCTTCCTTCATGGTTTGTTAGATCAACATGGTAGATAAGTTTTAAATTCTGCTACTTAAAATTAAGTATATTTTTGCCCCACAATGACACATATAATTCATCTGAGAAAATAATTCTGGGTTAGGTATTTTTTTTTCT